TCGATCGCTTGTGTGTGGCTGAAAGCATTTGCTTACAATGAAACTAAGTTGAATTTTACACGCATTTCATAATAAACTTGCAAATTGATTTTTCGCACATTAATATAATCCCGATTGAGTAATAATCGGCGCTTGCAACACCTCAGAAACAAGTAGGTTAATCGCTTATGAAATACTGCATGATGGGAATACAAATATAATATGTGCTATTAACTATTTCCAGACTATATTTTTCGTTACCAACAAAATCAAAACTAATACATATTACCAATCCTGATAGTTTTTTTATGAAATGGGAATACCAAGTTTTTTTTGTTTTACTGTAAACCTTCAGCAGTTCATGATGCCTATTTTAGAACCAAATTAAGCCCTTTCATTTTTTCCCTGATGTCTAAATCCGGTACATTAAACAAGCAGCCTCTCGGCTGAGATAGCTCCGCTGTTAGCAATGCACATTTCAATTAAAGAACAGAAGATATCATTAGAAAATGAACGATATGTATAGTATCAAGCAATGGGACTTGCTGTTTTCAACAAGAATTCAAAAATATCACTTTTTACCAAAAATTACAAAAATATTCACCAAAATTAGAGAATTAAAGATATCATTACAAAATCAACAAATCTGAGTGGGGTCCACATGTAGTACCTATATATGTAATATAAATGCAATCGAACTTGTGGGTTTTAACAAGAAGTCGAAAATATCACTTTTTACCAAAAATGACAAAAATATTCACCAAAATTAGAGAATTAAAGATATCAACATGAAATGAACAAACCTAAGAGAGGTCTACCCAAGGTACATATACACCAAGTATCAAAGCATTCAGGCTTGTAGTTTTCAAGAAGAAGTCGAAAAAGTAAAACATTGACACGGACGACGGACAATCACTCATATGATAAAGTGACAGCGGAGCTAAAAAGTTCAATAAATATGCAGCTTACCTTTCAGCTGTCTCAGAGCCTCTGTATCTGTTACATCAACTTTTAAGTTTGTAAGCTGCTTTTGTTTTAGTTCAAGTTCACTTTCCATTCGATGAAACTTCTCAATTCCTTCTGTAACTGTCTGCGGCTGCAAACAATAAAGAAATTATTAATATCGGAGAAAAAAACATGGTGTTGCTCTACATGCAGTAAATACTCACATTTTGTGTAAATAAACATACTTTATATGTGTTGTATGCGTCATATGGGATCCATATCAAACACCTATGTTGTCATGACAACCGACGACCAAATGATGCGCATATCACTAGACTGTATATATTCGAATTGTCTAACACACGACAGATAGACTTACTCTGAAATCGGCTAAAAATCGTGTGCTAACTTTCTGCATTCTGACCTTTGAACTCACTGCAAAATAAAACAAGTGAAATGGTTAGCGTACTCTAAAACCATACGATGAGAATGCATAGACAGAATTCACGCATAATTAACACAGATACCATAGCTTTTAATTAAATGTCCATAACGAGCCAATCTGTCAAGCGACTTTTTCGGCTTCTTTGAAATAAATTCAATTAGAGAATGGGAGTTTCTCCCCCTTAATTTTATAATTTTTTCTCTTACTCTAAATCATAATGGAAACCCTGCATGTTATTAAAAGAAAGATTACTATACTTTGACCGCTTTTGATAAAACACATGAAAACAACTTTCACATGTATTCCAGTTATTAGGAATAACTACTCAAATGTTGTTGAATGTTATTTTTCCCTTTAAAACAGAAAACTCAAAGAAACCATGTATTCAAAATATGAAAGTTCCATTACTTCTATATTAGATGTTAGATTGGAAGGGCCAAAAGGTTTATCTCTGTAGAGGTGTAATCTTAAATTTAAGTAATGAACAAATCAATTTCAACTAAAAATGTATTATTTTTTTAAGTTATCTCAATTAAAATCGATTCACTTTCTTTTTAGTGGGATGTGTTTCAACACATTGCAACTGACTGACACTGACAGTTGTATGTTTTACTAATTTAGTGTTCATCCAATGCATTATGAGCAATTCAGATTTTACCCAAACTTCAGCAAATTGCTAGTATTTTTAAAAAAAAATCCTTGGTCAATCATTTCATTTACTGTTTTACAAACAAAATATGGCAAATGTGACAAAACGCCATTATGACACAATCGACCTGACGGTCGAAATAACTCCCCTGTCTTCATTATCATGGAACAAGAATCAGTAAAGTGGCATTGTGGTTGACAGACTAGTTGTCAAAAATAACATTTTTTACCAAAAATTACAAAAATATTCACTAAAAATCCAAATTTGCATATTTTGACACAAATTTAACAAATCTGACAGAGGACGACTGCATTGACAGCAGAGCTAAAAATCTCCTGAGCTAAATTTGAGACAAGACCCCTGTATTAGGTGTTACAAGTTCATCATAGATATTTAATAACGTAAATAATCTGACTGTTAGGTCATCCAGGAACGTCTCAGCAGAGAGCCACATGTGATATTTCAAAATTGAAAACCTTAAATTATTAATTAAATCTATTAATTCTGATAATGAATAGTAGACTCACCCACAGAAGCATGCAACTTCTCAACAAATTCACTATCAAAGACACTCCGCTCTTCCCATATAGTAAATATGCGCAGAATGTTCGGTCGGATGGCTGGGTCCCTGAAAGCAATAAAGAGACATATGTACATTTAAGCCTTGTATACTGAAAATACACTTCCCTGGTTGAAGGAACACATACATTTGTAAATCAAAAATTGCATTTGAAGCATCCGAGTAGTTGTGGAATCTTTATGGAAATTCTGAGAAAGCAAATAACAAATTGTACAGTTGTATGGAAATATCTTCAGAATGCTTGTATTTGCAAATTTTTCAGGAGTTTGGTTAATATAAGAAAATTATGCTATGAGGAATTCCTACATTACTGGTATTCTCAGCATAATATGTTACAAAAATCCTTGTTTAAAGGACGTCCTGTTTGATGATATGAGACTTATAGTGAACAAACTTCCGTGGTCCCAACGAAATGTTCATAATTTTAAGAAAATATTCCAAATGTGATTGCATATTTGCACATAGTTGACAACTAAACAGCTGTTGAGACTAAAGTTAAGTTCTTTTATTAAAGTTGTTGACAATTTGTAAGAGGTGTTGACAAAAAAACAATGAGAGAAATTCACATTTGCGTCCGTTTTTGTTACTCGCAGACGAGCGGTAGCTTTGCCGATCATTTCCCCGATAAACACCCCATTGATCAGATATGAATAAAAACCATGCAAAATCAGAGTGTTCTCCACATTTGAACTTGATTCCCTAGTGAACAGTACAAACGAACATACCTGCGATAATCCTAAGCATTTGCTAACATGTCATCATTTAAGAGAAAGCGTACGCCTTTGAACATCGAGCAGAAAAGAGAAATTTTGCAGCGGTTAGATTGTGGAGAAAAGACATCAAAGTTAGCTCAAGAGTTCAACATCGGTAAATCAACTGTTTCCGACATAAAGAAAGCAAGACATACCATCGAAAAATTTATTGATCACAGTGACACTGCTAATGTGTCAATGAAACCAGCAAAAGACAAACAACTAGACCAAGCTGTCTTTTTATGGTTCGTCCAACAACGTGTGAGGGATGTTTCCATTGCGGGTCCCATGTTACAACAAAAGGCCATGTGTCTTTATCAACGTATCCATGCCAATGATGACACGGTCTTATCCGATCACACCATCTCCGCTGGGTGGTTACAACGTTTCAATGACCGACATCGTATCCGACAACTCAGCGTACAAGGTGAACAAATGTCAGTTGATGACACTGTTGTTGATGAATATCGTCAAAAATTACAAGTAATTTAGCAAGAAGAAAACTATGAGCTAGAACAGTTGTACAACGCCGATGAGAGTGGGTTGTTTTGGAGGGCATTGTCAGACAAAACACTTGCTGCGGTCGACGAGAAACAAGCTTCCGGTCACAAAGTTCAGAAAGATCGTATCACAATTTTCCCATGTGCCAATGCTACAGGAACGCACAAATTGCCACTTGTGTGCATCGGTTGCTATGCAAAACCACGCTGTTTCAGGAATTGTGATGTGAACTCATTTCCCGTGAAATACAAATCACAAAGCAAAGCATGGATGACCTATCAGCTTTTTTCAAGAAGAGTTTGTACCTGCTGTGCGGTCTCACTTGGCCAGCGTAGGGGTTGCATTGTTGCTTGTTGACAATGCCGGTTCACACAGTCAGAAAGGAAGCCAAGTGGAATCTTCTGGATGGCAACATTAAATGTTTATTTTTGCTGCCAAACACCACGTCAAAACTGCAACCGCTAGATCAGGGTATCATTGCCACAATGGAGAAAGTTTTTCGCCATAACATGTTGCGTGCCATTGTTGATGATGCTAATGAAGACAAAAACTTGCAGGAAATCATCAAAACTTTCACAGTGAAAGACGCATTGTTTATGATCGCCGACGGTTGGGATCAAATAAAACCTTCGACCATTAAGGGGTGTTGGTTCAACAGTCTTCACGTTGGTAACGATCGTAGCAGTGACGTCATTACTAATGGTGACTTAGTCAACACAGACATCGTGGAAAGTTGCCATGAGCTCGAACTTGGCGAATTGAACGCAACTGAGATCGATGAATAGATCAGTAGTGACAACAACATCAGTTCAGAGACATTTTCCGAAGAGGAAATAATCGACATTGTGACAAATACAACACAAGAGACAGCCATTGAGGAAGACATCGCAGAAAAGGAGAATTTAGCACCAGCCGAACCCCCGATCTCAGTTGCCGATGCCGTCATTGGGTTACAGCTTTTCATGGACTGGTACGAAGCTCAAAATACCGCGGAACCTATCAAGTTAACTTCGTTCAATGGCAAAGCTACAGAGAAATTGCCAACTGAAACAACAACGCCTTGATGTATTTTTTAAGAATCCTACTCGGCAATACATGAACTGATCGGACTCTCACGACGTACGTACTTTTTGCATACAAGGTTTTTCGGGAACACTTTTGATCAGAAAGGTGTTGTATTGATGACGATTGGTGTGTAAATAAAATACAGCAAGCAATGAAATTGTGTTTATTTTCTGCGTACGTGTTTATTATTTTATGGTTCGAATCAATTATCCGAACAATCAATTATCCGAACTAATTTGCCCCCGCCCACTTGGTTCGGATAATCAAGGTTCCACTGTATGGTTTATTTACATGAAATTCGAACACGCGCTGCGCGAAGACCACCGCA